TCTTCTCTTTGTGCATGTGCTTCCAGTAGGCTAGCCTCTTCCTTTGTCAAGTTCATGTCCCGGATCTTTGTTTAGTTGATCTCTTCTCTTTGTGCCTGTACTTTCCACTAGTCTAGTCTTTCATTGTCAAGTTCATGTTTGATGTGAAGTTCCGGATTCTTACCTCGTTGATCTCTACTCTTTGTGCATGTACTTCCACTAGTCTAGTCTCTCATTGTCAAGTTCATGTTACGGATATTTGTTTAGTTGATCTCTTCTCTTTGTGCATGTGCTTCCACTAGGTTAGCCTCTTCCTTTGTCAAGTTCATGTGCCGAATCTTTACTTCATTGACCTCTACTCTTCGTGCATGTGCTTTCCACTAGGCTAGCCTCTTCCTTTGTCAAATTCATGTGCCGGATCTTTTGCTTAGCTGATCTCTTCTCTTTGTGCATGTGCTTTCCACTAGTCTAGCCACTCTTTGTCAAGTTCATATGCCGGATCTTTACTTCGTTGATCTCTACTCTTTGTGCATGTACTTTCCACTAGTCTAGCCACTCCTTGTCAAGTTCCTACTTAGTGTAATGTTCCGGATGATCATCCTTCTATGTGCATGTGTTTTTCATTAGTCTAGCATCTCCTTGTCAAGTCCCTACTTGGTGTAATGTCCCGGTTGGTCTTCCCTTAGTGTGCATGTGCTTTCCACTAGTCTAGCCTCTCATTGTCAATTTCATGTTCCGGATCTTTGCTTAGTTGATCCCTTCTCTTTGTGCATGTGCTTTCACTAGACTAGCCTCTTCCTTTGACAAGTTCATGTGTCGGATCTTTACTTCATTGATCTCTACTCTTTGTACATGTGCTTCCACTTGTCTAGTCTCTCGTTGTCAAGTTCATGTTTTGATGTGAAATTCCGGATCTTTACTTCGTTGATCTCTACTCTTTGTGCATATGCTTCCACTAGTCTAGTCTCTCATTGTCAAGTTCACGATCCGGATGTTTGTTTAGTTGATCTCTTCTCTTTGTGCATGTGCTTCCACTAGGCTAACCTCTTCCTTTGTCAAGTTCATGTGCCGGATATTGGTTAAATAGCC